TTGCATGGAGAAGGTGATATTTAACGACCACCGGCCGCGAAGTGGTTGCAGCACGTGTTACACTGAGAAACAACCAGTACCTCTACGATTCGTTCATTCGTTTCGGTGGTAAATTGGTGTTGGATGTGAAATTTATGGAAGGGTGGTGGATGGGTGTGCCTCCCTTAAATTACAAGGCGAAGGCGGATGGAAGACGGAGGAGTCGGGTGGTAGTTTAAATTGCGGGGATTGTAAAAAGAGAAAAGAGGAGGGGAAGACATCGACCGAAGACAGGCTGAGATTTTGCTTACCACGGGAGAAGGGATCAGGGGTGGGAAAATGCATGGGTTCATGGAACTCAGCACAAAAAAATGACAATTTGAAGCTAGTGAACTCCTGGGGGACACCTGGCACCTTATCCAAGCAAAACCCCTCCTCCTATAGTAGCACACAACCACAAGTCCCGCAGCCCCCACCTGAAACAGTAAGCAAGTGCACCCCGAGTGGCCGAGCCCAGTTTTGGTGAGTGCCGTAACCAGGTTATGCGCCCGGGTGGTAATTAGCGGTTGCGGGCGCGCTGAACGAAATGACTGAGAGGGGAGGGGGATGGGGAGATGATGGAAGGGGTGGTGAGGGTCAGCTGAGGAGGTTTGAGATTATCGAGTTATAGATAGTTTTTGATGAGATTTTCTTCCCCAACACCTCCATAAATAGTTTAGTGGCAGCGTCTATCAGTTATTTTTAACAAACTTATCCCACCCTTCTCGTTTTATCTTTCTGGCCCCGGCTGCTCTGTTGCACATTTTGATTTCTTTGGACCGTCCACTTCTTTTGAGGTACGATTCGGCTTTCTAACCGCTGCAGTTTATCATTCCATCAATTTTAATTCCCTCCTAGTCGGGAAGTATCAGATAGGTATTTGATTGAGATTATTGCGGATTGGGAACTTGGGACGAGGTGATGGGGCTCAACACAACACATACACATTCATCATGGATATCCTGAAACAGCCAGGTCTTTATCAGAGTGCTTTTGTCGACGTAACAATTGGATTGATGGTAATCGCCTAGAGGGGCAAAACGAACGTCAGGATCACTAGCAATTTGACCACCAATTCATGCAGCACTGATCAGATCAGCTGGGAAAGTTATAAGCTGTATAGTTCGAGAAAACCAGAGAACATCAAACACCAATGGTCTTATCACAATTATCAATCGCAATCACCTAAACAGCTGGATGTATGAGCAGACTGCAGCATTCAAATTGACCCTGGAAGTGCAGATGACGAAGATGCGGCAGAATTCAGGAGGAAAGAGTAGTAGAGGAGAAACGAAGGCACGAGTGAGATAACACGTTTCGGTCCATTAAGTCATATACGCTTTAACTCAACACTGCGAACGTTCTCCAGTGGTACAGCCGACAATTACTATTCCATCGGCTTCGATCATGGATTCTTCGCATCTGTAGCGGACCATACATTGGCCTAGCATACGATTGAAAAATATCCAGCTACAAATTGTAATTTCCTGGAATTTCCAGCGCTGCGTTTTCTTTTTGAGGAGAAGCAACTGCCCTGTCCCGTTCTCTCGTCTCGACCTCTTTTCTGCATGTTATGACCCCATTTTTTTTATGGTTTTTCACTTTCTCTAGACATTTCTTCCCTTTCCTTTCCTTCTCCCCAACAAATCGTAAAAAATTGACGTACATAAGTGCATTTTTGTCCCTTCCTCTTTTTGCCCTGTACAATAATTTTTTTTCTCTTTTCTTATTGCTTAAGAAATAATTATTGCTTTACAACTCCGTCATCTTATTTGTCCCTAATCAAAACTATAAAAAATACCTCTACTTATCAAATTACCGCTCCGAACATGCATTTTTGCACCAGTTTTACCCAACAGATGTTTGCTGTTAAGAACTTCTCTGCGAGCTCTCCAGGTCTTACGTAGAGCAGCTTGTTTTAACGGTAAATTTTGCTCGTGTTTTTCAGTTCGATGTCAAATTTTAATTGTTTTAGGTGCATTGTGTTGGTGCAACTTTCAATGAAAAATGCTGAACAAGTGGAAGGGTTAGTGGACGAGAGGGAGCAGGCAGCAACCGAAGCACTGCTGAGATGGCGACGACGAGTGTGCTACGGAATGACCGAGATTCTGCCGAATTTGTACCTCGGTAGCATGAGGGATGCCAACGATGCGGATCAGCTCAACGAAAAACAGGTAATTCGATGTGTGTTAACAGAGAAGTCTCAGATTCCTGAGAAGATGTAATTATCGGCCATTTCACTGGAGTTTCCTCAGACGAGGTTCTCGCTCCTACCCGCAAGCACTGCTCGGTCAGTGTTTACAGCTAAGGGATAAAACATAGGCTGCATCGGAAAATGTCCTCCGGCACATGATACTTAAGACCAGTCCTTCTTTCGTACTATTCCTAAACTTCAGTAATTTGGGAAACATTTACAAAAGTTGAATTTTCGACTGTCAATCAAATATAAGCAGATCGTAGAAACCAGGTTGACCTTGAAAGTCTGAAGTTTAGGAATCGAAAAATAAATAAATTTTGTTTTAAATTTGCTGTTAGTAAGTTACCTTTTCTTATTTTTGAAGTAGCAATTCGCTCCGAACAGATTAATGATGCTCCATACATACACTGGGGGATTGGTTGTTTCACTGAGTCAAATCCTCTACGTTCTTCTGATTTTGCTTATTACTTTTCCCGTGAAAATTGAGACTTTTTTTTGATATTTTTTTCTTCAGATTCAGTATATTGTATCCATTCATGGTTTGACTCGATCTCCGACAACGCTCAGTAATAGTAATGCCAGTGTATTGCATATACATATGGCTGATTTGCCAGAAGCAAATATCAGCGAGCATTTCCAGGAAGCCATCACGTTTATTCATCATGCCCGATTGCAAAATAGTGAGTTTTTAACGATTTATGTTAACGATTTCTGTCATTATATTGATTGTCAGACGTTTTTCTTTGTTCTCGAAGGAGGGACCCATTGGCGAATCCAAGGCCCCTTCCCCCTCCTTCTTTCCCCATTTCCCCAGCGGCGTAGGCACCAGTGCTAAGAAAGCCTAGGTTTAAAGCTAAAACTGAAGAAAACTCTCTTCCGCCTCCCCCTCGGTCGTCATCATTAGGACTCCTACTCCTTCCTCCCCCCCCCCCCCCCCCCCCCCCCCCCCCCCCCCCCCCCCCTCCCCCCCCCCCCCCCCCCCCCCCC